AAAAGAGAGTTATTTGGTCCCAACACTGAAACATACATTTGGTCACAGGCCAGAAAAGGTCACAATTCACAAGAAGACATATAAATTTAATTTAATTGGGCATTTGACTAAAGTGCACACTAAAACCAATTTGAAATATACAAAACATTTTTCCAAATACGTGTAAGCTTTAATCTCGTATAAATCTCATCACACGTCTCAATCATCTTTAATTGACTATCAATGCTTTTTTTTGGTATATTCAAGAAAAAAAAAAAAAGAGTTATTAAGAAAATAACAGCATTTTATTTAATTTATTTGGTCCATTTAAGATATAAAAGTCCTATTTATTAACACGAATTATTAATTAATTAAAAGTTCTGTCCCAAAAAAAAAAAAAAAAATGCTACGGTTTCGTTACAGAACTTTTTTGTTGGAGTTTGTAACTGTTAGATCAACTATTTATGACGGTTACATAATGATTTAACAATCAGAAATCCTGACATAATAATTCCGCAACGAGATGTAGCATTTCCTGAAAATTGTTGTTCAGTCAAACTCAAACCCCTCATTCTTGGCCGCAATTATTTCTCCTTTTATAAATGGGTGTCACATTGCAAATTTTCCTCCCCTCACTATATTAACTAAATTAAAAAACAAAATATTTAATTCCATATTATTTTCTATAACTTAATACATTCATAATCTAATTTTTATAACATGGGCAATGTCTCATCTTCGTACCATCCCACAACAAGAAAACAATTGGCCGGACCAAAAGAAATCGTCCCGATTCCGGCCAAGGTGGTGACTCCCGACGGCCGATTGGAGGAGTTCCGGCGTCGGACCACCGCGGAGGAGGCGGTTTCCGGCCACCAGGGCTGCTATCTATGCAGCTCGGACTCCATGGCGGTGGGCTCGGCGGCCCCCCGGCTGCCCGACGACTACATCTTACAGTTCGGGCAAATTTATTTCATAATGCCACTCTCGAAATTGCTAGCGCCACTCTCGCTTCAAGACTTGTGCGTGCTGGCCATCAAGGCCAGCGTGGCGATTGGCAATAGCGAATCGTCGACGCATTTGTCGGCCGGGTCGGTATCGGGTCGGGTTCAGGTACGCTGGTTGAGTTTGCGGGTCAGGAAGCAAGGAGCGTATGGCGAGCTCTTGTCGTGCCCGAAATTGGCTTCTCTAAGAAAGATCAAAAGTCTTCCAAGATGATGAACTTTTTTTTATGAACTCATGTCTTTTTTTTTTTTCTTAACTTCATTTTTTTTGGGGGGTAAATTTTGTATAATATGGGCATGTGTTTTTACTTTTTAATAAGGTAAAACATTGGAAAATTGAAACATTTTTTATTTTTTTTTTTTGTATTTTTTGGTGATTAATTGCAGTTTGGCTTCTAACATTTTCTATTCACACGGTATAGTCAAAAAGTCATCAAATGTCAAATCATTTTAGGTAATGCCAAATCAGGAAGATGCTACGTTCTAGTTACGGAACCATTCTGTCGGGTTTGTAACCGTTAGATCAACTATCTCTAATAGTTACATGATGAGCTAATAGTTACAAACCTCGAAGAAATTGTTCTGTAACGGGACTTTAGCATTTCACATCAAATCATTTTAGGTTAAATAAGTCTCGGGTAAATATAAAAGTTTTATATACTTGATATGTTGTATAGTTTTTTTTTTTTTTTTTTTTTTCTAAAATCACCTCTTACTATAACGATGTTCGCTTTCGATTAGCGTTTCCGCTAATTAGCCGATTGTATTCAAACGCAACCATAAATTAGCGTTTCAATTACCTCTTTCCAAAATGCTTAAATGAATCAATTTTATATTTTTTTTATAAACTTACATACTTTTTTCATATTAAACAAAAAACCATAGAAAAAGTGTAACAATTTATAATATAAATATGCATTTTTGTTATGAAGATATGTATCATTGTATAGACATAAATTTTTTTGAATACATAGATATTTGCAAACTAGGGCATGTAAAATTGTTATTTACAAATTTCAATAAATGATAATCTATGGATATATAGTATTGAAAAGGAAGTGATAAATGGGGAAGCACTAAATGGATAAGTGGTAAAATATAAGAGGACGGAAACTACCCAATGACCCATTGAAATAAATGAATAATGGATTTAGAAAGGTAAAGACCCACGTCTACCGATCTATTTTTGCTCTTTTTCCGAGTGTTCTTGCCGAATTTGAGAGAAGAAGCCTAGACGTTGAAGTATAAAATTTTGATAATTTTTGGGGATGGTTGATGCCAAGTGCTTGAGCACTTAGAAGATCTTGGTTGGAGGAGAACATTGTTCTCGTTATTTTTGTGTTTGCGAGTGATGAACCGACTTGTGGTTACTCACTATGCTCTTGAAATCCGACTCGGTTGTATGACTTTCAATTTTGATCAATACAAATTTATTTAACGATCAAAAAAAAATGAATAATGGATTTACATATCATATAGACATGGCTAAAACCGGTTCTGGGCCCAGTTCCGGGCCAAGGCTGGTAGGACTCTGAACCGGCCCGAACATATGCACGGGACGGTTGGGTGAACCGCTAGTTCCACTTCGGCCCGGTTCATTTAAAAAAATTACAAAAATAATTAAAAGAAAATAAAAAAGGGGGTGAACTATCGGTTCTGATTCCGGTTTGCAACCGGTCCGGTGGTTCAAGCAGGACACATATGTGACCCGAAACTGGCCCGGTCAAACTACGAGACTAGTTCAAGGCCCATTGGCAACGGGCCGGTTTGGGCTCAAATGGAGGGCCATCATATTCCAAGATTTGACTGGTTACCTATATGTTGGTGATGATTGAAACTTTTGTTTCTTTTGCTTTGTTTGGATATATGGATCTTTGCCAATTGCCATTCTTGGTGATTGGAAACTTTAAATGCGGCCCATAGAATGTTTTGGGCTTTATCCATCACTTCTGTTATTGGGTTTAATTATCATGGACGTTTAAGAATAGTATAGGAACGACAATATTACCTTTTTACAATCGAGACGAACTCGACCCTTAATGAATCAGACTAAATTAAAAGTTTAAAAAATTATATAATAATCAATAAAAGCGAATCTGACGAGCCGTAATTAGCCAAGTCGAGTCGAGTCGAGTCAAACTCATGTTTCTAGATAATTTTTTTTCTACAACGATAGATACTGTTATAAATCAAAATGCACAAATGTGCGAATACAAGTAGCCTCTAACTGAATGGAACATCCAACAACTGAAAAAATGAAATGACAGCTCAGAAGACCGCCTAAAATCCCGACAAGTGATTCATTCAACTCAGGCTTTTTATTCAACATTAACAATAATTGTTACCATTACAAACAGAGTAGGAAAAAATAAAATAAAATAAAATAAAGTACTCCAAACCTTTTAGACATATTATTATAATAACATAATAACTTTATTTAATATCATTGAAAATAGAGAAAATTAAGGCTTCATTTCAGTCTTGATAGCAGCAACTAAATGGTCATAGGCCACACTCCAAGCCCTCTTCATTTCTGCTGACCACATTTCTCCACTTGCTTCTTTAATTGTCTCCAATAATGCATATTTTGTCACCTGTAATTATTTTAATAATAATAATGTTAACATAAATAAAATCTTTTCATTGTGATTGATTGGGTTTAATTAAATCAAATGTTGTTTATTATCACAAAAATATTTGTCACAAAAGTGATCGTCAATTAAGTTGATAAATCGTATTATCGTGTCGTGTTCATATTATTATCTAATTTATTCGACCACGAATATTATATTATACTATATTATATTACCTCAAAATGCTCATCGACAACGCCATATTTAAAATGGACCGCGCCTAATTTCTTGAGAGTCGAGTCTCTAATCACAACTTTCCCTGCTTTACGGAGCTGAACCGCGGCTTCACATGTCTACGAACATTATCATTTCAATAATTATCACATAATATTTATAAATAATTAAATTAAGGGTCAAATATTATTATCATACAATTTATACAAACACTTTGACTTACCATAACAAGCACATTCTTAGCATGTGGCTTTAGCTTAGGATTTTGCTCAAGTGGAACATTTGAATCTCTTAGAAAAGAGAACAATTTCTGAGCTGATGGGGCTATCTCAAATATCCTATAAATTCAATAACACAAATATCATAAAATCACATAAATAAATCAAATAAGTTAATTCAAATTATTATTATTTTTTTTTTTTCAATTTTTACTTGAGAAAAAGTTTGAGGCCCCATTCGCCGGCATCCTTCTTCATCAAGTTCCACGATTTCACGACCAGAGCTTCTTGTTCTTCGGTGAACAAAATCGGATCTTCATCTAAAAAGATCGACATAGGTTAAAAGTATGATAAATTAATCTAAGAAAAATAAGCAATCCATGAGTATATAAAGTAATAAACCAAAAAATAAATAAAAAAAATGATACTACTAATTAACCTTGTATGGTATTACTATTAGCCATGGTTTGCTTATTTTGGTAGTAAAAATATTAATTTTTGGACAATAAAATGAACACTTCTGGATATATGCAAATGTTGATTGGTGTTAATTAAGTGTTATATAATGATGTAAGATTGGCCCTTGAGAAGAGTGTAGAGCTGAAGAACTAATAACTGAATTTTGAGATAACAATGAATGAAACCAAGGGACTTAATTTGTGCAGTGGAACGTGGTTTTCTCTTACAGGAGAGATCGTGGCGGCCGCTGATTGGGTGCCCACAAGACAAGGTTATTGAATTTAAGATATGGGTTAATTAAATTATTAATTATTATGTGGATATTATAAACAATTCATATTGGATCTAGATAGTTTATCTGGAGATTTTTCACATTTTGGGTTTGTGTACATTTCTCTTATTTCTTTTGTAAACAATTAATTACTACCTCCTATTTTTAATATATGTCGGTTTGAGAAGTTGCACACTAATTAAAAATATTTTTTTTTGTCAATAATAACCTTATTTAATGAAAATAGAGATGAATGTTTTGAGAAAAAAGTGAAGAGTGAATATGAAAAGACGTAATGTATTTATTGGCTAAATGAGAGTAATAATGGAAAAATATATACTACAAAAGATCCAAAACGACATTTATTTGAAAAATAGTTGAAAAGGCTAGAATGACATTTAAAAAGAATAGGAGAGAGTATTATATTTTTTTTCCAACTTTTTCTAACTGCCCTTAGGGACGGACAACAGTGCAATTTGGTGGAAAACCACAACAAATCGCAATAAATCGAAAATCAAACTTAGCAAAAAAAAAAAAAATATCTGGCTCAGTTTTTCGTTTTATCTCAATTTTTCTATACATTTTATTTAATTTGGTGCAATTCGGTACAAAATCGCATCGAGCCGAATAAAACTGAAAACCGAACTTATGAAAAATTATAACCGCACCGCAATGTAGGAAAAACCTGAACCGAAACCCAACCAAAATTTTTTTACATTAATAAAATTGAACCGAACCGCAACGAATTGCTCGGTTCGTCGGTTTTCCAGTTTCGACTCGGTTTTGCTCACCCCTACCCAAAAAAAAGATAAAAATTATGTTATTAAAATAATTAACTTAGATATATTATTAAAAGTTTCTAAATATATTTATAAGTTTCAACATCATATCAAGTGTTCAACAAAAATATATGCAAACAATAAAACAAATATGACAAAAATCAAGTACATGTTTTAACAATTAAACAATGAGAATCAAGTTAACCGTATTGTTGACTTAGGCATCGGATCCTCCACCACCCAAAAGCGCATACTTTATCTTGACGATATTTCTCTCCGCCTTCGTACCTTTATACGATGGACCAGATGGATACCGTTCTTTTAGATTTGTATAGTCGATCCTACCTTTGGTGCATCCGCTCTCCCGTGACGCTGGCTTTTTGTATGGACTCTCCGGACCAGGAGACATTATCTTTATGTTACTGGCAATTGTTACCAGCTTTTTCTTGTTTTCTTTTTCGTTTATGTTTTGGTTTTCGTTTGACTTGATGTATTTCAGACATTAGGCTTGTAGATTTGTGACTTTTCAGCCTATTTATGACATTTTTATATATACAAGTTGGGGTTCAGTCTAACCCCCACCATCGAGGGTGTTTCTTAAAAAAAAAAAAAAAAAAAAAGTTAATTCGAACTCTATAAATACAATCAATATTAATTTCAATAGATAGTGATTATTAATTTACATTAGAAGTGTCTAAATGTGTTTAAAATTAAATTTATAGTACTATTTTCATGTAAATATATGTGTAATTTTTCCTTTTAAATATTGGCGGGCTAACTTGCAGCCCACAAATGGTGTACTGACATGTGTCCTGCAATAAATACACATTGGACATGTGTCAGTACATACAGTTATGGACGGCCTCATAGATTTTCGGATATATATATATATATATATGTATATATATATATATATTTCAAAACGGTAGAATTTAACTAGAAAAAACACATAAGTACAACTAGATTCCAGCCCAATAGCTGAATAAGGCAGCTAAAGAGCCAAACTGAAATGCAGACAATGAAATCTCACATTTTTTTGTCACCTAACAAGTTCTTTTGATAGTACAAAACCGAAAGCGAAATCGTACGGAATCCAATCGACTTTCTTCCACAACTTTACAAGTCGAAAATTCTTAATGCCCATCGAGTCGGACAGCAAATGCTCGACCGTTTGTGCTATGCCCGATTGAGCTAAGCCACCAATCTCCTTCACAAAATTCTCGACTTTTTTCGGCACCAACAAACTATGGTCTTTATGAAGCTTCACATTCATCCGAATGTAATCTTCTTTAGACATCTCTAGCTCTTGGAATACTTTCTTCGAAGTGTACATTCGAACCTGTAAAACAAAAAATTGCAAAAAAATCACTTGAGGTTTCGTCTAATTATAAAAAGATAACTCTAAAAGTAGTCGACTTACGGTTGGGTCGGTTTTGCATCCGGAGCAAAGCGCGAAATGCAGCCGAGGCTCAAGGGACTTAACTGCAAATGCATTCATAGGGTCCCCAGCTTTAAATCTTTTCTTGGGGAAGAACAAGGAATGCAGCCACTGAAAGAAAGAGCTCTTTTCGTAAACGTTACACATCAAGGGTAGTTTTCATAGTTAAACCAAAAACAGGGGATCGCATCGAAAAACTCGACTTACCGGGTTCGGACGAGGCAAACGGCAACCTAAGATAGAACTTTGTATTGTGTCCACACTTATGGTATGGCCTCCAATATTGTATGCAGCCTAAACAAAACAAGATTGTGGAACATAGCTGAAGAAAAATAAAATGCTTGGAAAAAATGAAATTTTGTCATTTTGGTTTAACGCCATAGCAATTTTAGTCCCAAGATTCTGACGTTTCACCCTTTGGTTATGTGATTTAATATTTTGATGCAATTTCAGTCATTCTCAAATAACTAAAATTGCAATAAAATTTTAAATTACATGACTGAAATTGCACAACAAAAATATATTTATAAGCATCAACATCATATATCAAGCGTTCAACAAAAATATATGCAAACAATTAAAAAAAAAATATATATATCACAAAAATCAAGTACATGTTTTAACAATTAAACAATGAGAATTAAGTTAATTCGAACTTTAAATATATATTATCAATATTCTTCAATAGATAATAGTGATTATTAATTTATATTAGAAGTGTCTAAATTTGTTTAAAATTGAATTTATTGTACAATTTTCATGTAAATATATGTGTAATTTTTTTTCTTTTAAATATTGGGCGGGCTAACTTGCGGCACACAAATAGTGTACTGACACGTGTCCTGTAATAAATACACATTGGACATGTGTCAGTACATAAAGTTATGGATAGTTCCATGAAAGAGTCATCCGATGGCTCCATAGATTTTCAGAACGATAGAACTTAAATAGAAAAAACCACATAAGTACGACTAGATTCCAGCCCAATAGCTTAATAAGGCAGCTAAAGAGCGAACTGAAATGCAGACAATGAAATCTCACATCTTTTTTGTCACCTAATAAGTTCTTTTGATAGTACAAAACCGAAAGCGAAATTGTATGGAATCCAATCGACTTTCTTCCACAACTTTCCAAGTCGAACATTCTTAACGCCCATCGAGTCGGACAACAAATGCTTGACCGTTTGTGCTATGCCCGATTGAGCTAAGCCACCAATCTCCTTCACAAAATTCTCGACTTTTTTCGGCACCAACAAACTATGGTCTTTATGAAACTTCACATTCATCCGAATGTAATCTTCTTTAGACATCTCTAGCTCTTGGAATACTTTCTTCGAAGTGTACATTCGAACCTGTAAAACAAAAAATTGCAAAAAAATCACTTGAGGTTTCGTCTAATTATAAAAAGATAACTCTAAAAGTAGTCGACTTACGGTTGGGTCGGTTTTGCATCCGGAGCAAAGCGCGAAATGCAGCCGAGGCTCAAGGGACTTAACTGCAAATGCATTCATAGGGTCCCCAGCTTTAAATCTTTTCTTGGGGAAGAACAAGGAATGCAGCCACTGAAAGAAAGAGCTCTTTTCGTAAACGTTACACATCAAGGGTAGTTTTCATAGTTAAACCAAAAACAGGGGATCGCATCGAAAAACTCGACTTACCGGGTTCGGACGAGGCAAACGGCAACCTAAGATAGAACTTTGTATTGTGTCCACACTTATGGTATGGCCTCCAATATTGTATGCAGCCTAAACAAAACAAGATTGTGGAACATAGCTGAAGAAAAATAAAATGCTTGGAAAAAATGAATTTTTGTCATTTTGGTTTAACGTCATAGCAATTTTAGTCCCAAGATTCCAACGTTTCGCCTTCTGGTTATGTGATTTAATATTTTGATGCAATTTTAGTTCTCAGATGGCTAAAATTGCAACAAAATTTTAAATTACAAGACTGAAATTGCAAATAAAAAATCATCCCAAAGATATATAATTTGGAATTTTGTTGCAATTTTAATCCTCAAATGAGTGAAACTGCAGCAAAATGTTAAATCATAGGACCAAAAGACAAAGTGCCAAAATCTTAAGACTAAAACTGCTACGGTGTTAAACTAATACGACTAAAAATGCAATTTAGCCTATCGAAATTGTTATAAGGTAAAGTAAATTTAAGTTGTATTAATCTTTTTATATCTATACCTTGAGAACTAAAGACACCCTCTTGAGACTTCCTTTGGGAATCCCATACACCAGATATGCCTACATAAATTACATAAAAAAAAAAAGAAAAAAAAAAAGAAAATTGAA